TGTTACAAACAGCCAGGATCTGAGGCACCCTTTTTATAATGGGCTTGTTTTAAACCAGACAGCCGCTTTGTCATGAGAATAGGATCCAAAAATTGAGTCAGTGATTCTGAGGCTATAGCCGATTTCCAGAAAAGCAAACAGGATTATGGAATAAAGGAAGGCTTTGCCATCCTCCCTTTGTTATCATTTGCTGAGTCAGAACACCAAAACTCTGCCAAACACACTCAAAACACGCAGCCCCCTGCCAAGTCCTGGAAGACGGGGGGCAATTTGGCTGCTCTCTCCCTTTCAAGCATGTTAAACAAGAAGGCATCCTTGTTAGCTCTAAAAGGCCCACCCCCATGTGTAAGGAAGAAACACAATATTTATCAGACAATGTTCCCATGCAGCAAAGGATGTAGCTAGGAAATGGTCAACATGTGCTCAGGGCAGGCACCACAGGCTTGCAAAGACCAGCCACTGCATGGAGGCTCTGCTTCAAAAGCTCACGATGGAAACATGTGCACAGCAACGGGGCTGTGTATTTTTATAGCAAACCCTCAGCTTGAGCTGTATTGCTCCAAATGGTGCCTGACATAGAGGCAAAGTATGATGTCTGGCCACACACCCCCAAAGAGAGTGATTTCACACATCGGATAGTAAAGAATGATGCCCAGATTTCTGACCATATCTCCTAGTGTCACAAATTCAACTCAAAACTCTTGCACCACTGTCTGAGGTTTGAGCAAAAGTTTTTCTTTTAGCCACACTCTGGCCCACTGAGCGGGGAGGGCGAGGATTGCTGGCTTATGTACATCCACACCCCCCGCCAGTGCATTATGAAAAAACACCTCTGTAGCTATTCACTGCACCAGCCCAAAGGCTTAGCGAAACAAAGGGAAACGAATTTGGCACAGCAGCGCCTGAAACACAGACCCTATTTCAAATCTGTCAGGACAAGCAGTCTCGCAACAGCAGCTCTGCATGCCACCATGTACACTGCCACAGCCCTGCTAAATGCAGTCTGATATGACAGCCTGAGACAAGACATGATCAGCAGCATCTCCTTCTCTTCTCTCTTTCTCCCCTCCCTACCCTCGGCAGGAGGGACTTCTACAAGATCCTGGGGGTGTCCCGCGGTGCCTCCATCAAGGACATCAAGAAGGCCTACCGGAAACTGGCGCTGCAGCTCCATCCCGACAGGAACCCCGACGACCCTCGGGCTCAGGAGAAGTTCCAGGACCTGGGGGCTGCCTACGAGGTGAGGCCGGCGGCCGCGGGTTCCCCCCCTGCCCCGCGCCCCTCCGTGGGCCCCGATGAGCGCTACCGCTCCCTGCGGCGTAGGGCAGGGCGTAGCAGGGCCTGGGGGAGCTGTTGGGGAAGGAGAGGGGCAGAGTTGTGCATCATGTTTTAAGGAACTCGGAGAGCGAAGTCCTCCTGGCACTTCCCAGACTGTGAAGGGTGGATGAGTTTCGTGGTAAAACATGCCAGGAGCATGAAAATGAGCTTAGTCAACGGGGAGTCTCTTGAGGCTTCTTCCTGTAACGTTCAGGACAGTGAGAAAAGAGGGCTTCTAGGAAATGTAAATGCTTTTCTGTAAGGTGCAGGTGCAATTCATCCTCCCCCTAGTACTGTATTGAAATTCAGACATTCTACCAAATAAACAACATAGGTAGTGAGGCTACTGAGTTGATTAGAGAGCTCCTTCTGTCAGAGGACAATGAAAGATCTTCACTCAGCCAGAAGAAAGTGAAGACAGCAAGTTTAAAGTTATGTGTTATTTATTGATAGTTCTTTGAGAAAGAGAAATAGTTGCATCAGCTGTAAGTACTGGCACAACGACAAGTCTATGTATGAGGCCTGGATGTGATAGGAGATAAAAGGTGGTTGGTTTGCCTTTTAGAAGACATTAAGGTGGGAAAAATAATTGTGGGTCACATACGCAAGAGGATTCCTGTTGTTTGCCTGATAATATAGTAACATGCAAATGATACCTGCTACTAATAGCAGGGTGCGTTATGTAAATCACATATAGATTAGTTCATTAGCCAGATGTTTGAAATCAAAGCCTTTCTCTGCCACGTATGTACATGTTAACAGAATTCAGGCAGGGTGATAGGATCTGTTTCTTCCACATTCTCTGTCCTTTTTGTACCCTTCTGTCACTGTTGGTTTCCATCTGCCCCTGCCATCCCTCATGGAGCAGAGGGCCCCTGAGGTGACCAGCAAGAATTTGTAGCAGCCACCAGGAGCTTGCCTGCACTGGTGGGCTGTTTGAGTGGGAGGTTTGTGTCCTCTTTGAGGAGTTGAGTTTCAGAAGGAGAGGGTTTGTGTTCCTGCTGCAGTCTGGTGGTGCTGCTCAGCCTGCAGCTGTTCATCCCTGATGCTCCTCTGCTCTTCAGATATGCAAATATATGAGGAAGTGAAACAGCTTGAATGTGGTTTTTTCAGAGCAAAGGGGAATGCATTCATTTTATTTTTGTATCAGAGCTGGGACCTCTTTAGTTCAGACTTAGCAATTCTTAAATAAATTGGGTGAATTATCACAGGGAGATCAGTGAACATAAAGAATTCTTTTCTGGAAGAACGTATTTGTTACCTATCATTTGCATCATCTGAAGACTGATGCATGTAGTTTACTTCAAAGCTGTGAGCTTGATGCTGTTTCTGTCAGTTGGGATCTTGTCACATTTGACAGTGCTTTATGCATGGGAAGCATTTCTCTACCTCTTCCCCGAGTCCCAGTTTATTTAAGTCTTTGCCATAGTAACAATTGAGTGTGCTCTTTCTATTAAAAACACTGGGGAGAAAATGGTTGTAAAATCAAATCAGCAAGGGATGTAGTGGCAGGAATAGCTGAATGCTAACTCTTATGAGCAGTGACTGAGTCTGCCTCCCCCTCACCAGGGTGTTATTGAAGCACAGCAGTGTCCTTGTTCAACACAGTGTGGAGTTCTAGTGCTAACACAGACAACAAGAATGCAACGTGCTTTTGCTGGGTGCTGGTGAAAATTAAATTAAATGAGGAAACCTCCTTTCAAAATCTTCATTCATGTGCTTCTTGCTGAAGAGAGATGCATCAGGGTATTGAAATCCAGAATTGGCATATATGGTTTTTAAGATAGGTTTGGAAGAAGTAGCATTTTGATGTCCTACACAGTCTTTTTGTTTAGCCAGTACAGCTTCCAAATCCTTCTGCTGAACTATGAGATGCAGTGTGCTGATTTGATTGTCTTGGGCAAAATGGAGCTATAATTATTTTTCTCTTATAACCTAAACCAGGATGCCTTTTGCTGTAAAGCAACAGCCTCTGTTAGTAGTACCACTGCTCAGGGTTTGGCTAGCTGACTATAGTAAAGTCTTCCAAAAAAAAAAAATGTGGGGAAAGTAGGTTAATTAAGCTACTCTCTCCTTCATTTTCACAGCCTAAGTGATCTCCACCCTGCAGCTGTGTGGTCTGAATGCAGTTGATTCAGTTAGAAAGGAGGCTGATCTTGTGTGAGGGAGCTGAGACTCCTCTGTGCATAGTCATTAGTCTCAGAATGGTTTGGTGGTTGAGTTTCCATGGGTTTTTTTCTAAGCTTATCTGCTGTAGATGCTTTGCTTTTGAGGCAACCTGACATAACAAATGTGAAGTCTCAGCACAGTACTTGAAATTGTGTTCATGGAGTTGTGTTCTCCAACAGCCTTCAGAAAGAAAGAAAAGTAATGGAAAGGCAAATATTTTGTGTTCTTCATTCCTTTTTTTATTACTCATGGTATAGACAATACTGTGCAGCACTTTACCAGAAGAATTTTCCTCTGACACCGACAGATCACAGAATGGAAAGCTTATCCCAGTTCTAGGAAGTATGTGTTTTAATGCAAAATCTGAAGTGGCAAAGGGGGAATTGAGCTCTTACCTACTAGATCAATCTAGTAAAAACACTGTTGGTTTTTTCCCCTGTTTGTACCATTTATCATCGGTTGCAATTTCAGGCAGTTTTTCATCATTTAGCCAGCTTCTCCGCCTGTTTCCCCCTCTCTAGGAGTGTGAAAGCTAACCTGGCAATTTCAACCTTCCCAAAGGTGATCAGCAGGGGGAGGAAGAGGAAGGAAGACTAAACGTGACTGGAAACTTCTGGGTCTCTGGGAGAGGAAAGAACAAAGATCAATACTTAGGAATTAAAATTGAAGCTTTACAGTCTTGAAAGTTGTGTGTTGGAATGTGGTTTTCTGCCTCAGTACTGAAGTTACTTCTAACCTTTGCTGCCGTTAGGAATGAGGGCCAGCATTCGGACTGGTGCAGAGTTACCATGTTTAGCAGGTTCAGCTTGGTAGCCAAACTTGCCATCACTGCTGATTGTTATGAAATAGCAGCCAGAGAAATACACATTTTGTGTAGTTGAAGAACAAATTGAGAAATGGGTGGTGGTATGTGATGATTTTTTATTTTTTTGTTTTTCAGTGTGTCCTGCTTTGTAGGGACTGATTTGAATCATTCCTCCTGATTGTTTTTTAATCCTTAATATAAACTCAATATTGTTTATATTTTTCTATGTGGCTTTGGTTTAATAAGCTAACTGTACTTTTTATGGGTTTAACTGATAAATATTTAACTCTTGTAGTCCAGTGCAGCAAGCAAGTTCTAGCCAGCGTTTCTGTAACGTAAAGCGTTGCTGTTTGTCCCTCAGTGAAAAGTCCTGATGAGCTTTCTCAGAGCCTTGTTTAAATAACTCAGCTAGACTGTGGGTGAATGTCTTGTCTGCTCACATCCCTTTGCCAGGTGCTGTCAGATGAGGAGAAGAGGAAGCAGTATGATGCGTATGGTGAGGAGGGGTTGAAGGATGGGCACCAGAGCTCCCATGGAGACATCTTCTCACAGTAAGGAGACTTTACCACATCAGGCTATTCTACAGTTGGTGCTCTAATTTTGTGATCATGCAGAGACTTGACATAAGCAAATTGTATGTTAAGGTCTTTTACCCAGTCCAGAGGGACTGATCTGAAGTGACAGTTGATAATTTGAAGATATACATTTACAGTGGGTATCCCATGTGCCTTTTTCAGTTGTCTGTCTTGCATCACTTGGTTTAAGAGCAGTGAATAGGAGCCAGTGGTGTCTTCCCACACAGGCTCCTCTTGTTCACTTTACAAGCTGCATCACTAGCGTGCATGATCTGTAAGGTGCTGCAGCTGCATTAAACATGTACAAGCTTCCTTGTGTTATCTGGTATGTGACTGATGTTTGACCTGTTGTCATAGATCATGTGTGTGCTTTAGGGGTCATTTTTCTTTTGCAAAGTAATGCTGTGGTGACTGACGTGACATTTCAGAGCCACTGCAGAATTTGGATCATTGAAGTCTGAAGGCACTTGCATGTTGCTCAGGCAGAACCTGATTTTCTGTTTAAGGCCCCTTTGGTTCTGCAAAGCACAGATTTGCTAACTATTTACTAACAGTTCCTGAAGTTGCTCATTGTGTGTAAACCTTCTGGATGAGAATTGACACCATCTGCTGGTCTGATTTGAGGAAAAATATCTAGACTTGCTGGGAAGCTTTTTATCATTCCCCCTTGTCCTCAATTTACTGAAAACCAATCTACTAGCACTGACTTGCAGTGGCAGAGATGGAGTGTTACTCAGCTTGCACCTTGTGGTGAAGATGATGATGATGGTGACGACTGAGCAGCAGTGCAGTACAGAGAAGAATTCCCTTAGGTGGTGGTCAGATTTTGAGGAGTTGGCGTTCAACTCCCACTCCAAAACCTGATTTCTTTAGTACAGAAAACTCTTCCAAAGTGACCACTTTGTTTGAAGGCATTACCTTGTGGCCTGGAGGAGCAAAAAGGGGTATCTGGATTTACTATGGTGCTTTTACACTGTGAGGAGGTGGTTCTCTAAGGGACTAGAAGCATTTACCAAGCAGCATGTTGCTGCTGCCTTGGGTGGCTCTCTCCATCAAAGCCTCATTTGATCAGAATTCCTTCCTGAACTAATTGATGTGCTTCATTCCAGCTTCTTCGGGGACTTTGGGTTCATGTTTGGAGGTAACCCTCGCCAACAAGACAGAAACATACCCCGGGGAAGTGACATCATCGTAGACCTAGAGGTTACACTGGAGGAAGTGTATTCAGGAAACTTTGTAGAGGTAAGTTTGACTGCCTGCCTGTCAATCTCTCTAGTGTGTTCTCAGGTTTGAGCTGCCTGGCCTGGCCACTGCTCAGAATGATATCTTCTCCCAAATAATAGAACTGAAATAAATTCTCTTCTTCTCAGTATCTGGCAGTGACAGTGACGGATGTTGTGATGCTATTTGCTAATAGTTAACTGAAGAAGTAATATATTTATTCATATTTGCCATCTGGCAATTTCTTTATAATGGGATGCTTCTTGTGATCATAATTTATTTATTGGCTGTTGGTGACTAGCTGTAGTTTTTTTTTATTGCAGTAGCCCACTTGGAAAAGGTGTAAGTGGTCTCTCCCTAGAACTTAGTGGTATTTGAAGGCCCATTTATATCCCTCAGATTCATTTTTCAATTCTTGCTAAACCATGCTGAGGATTTTTCATAGGCCAAACATGTCGCTGCAACTTTCAGGATTACATAATTGGCAAATTTATGGTGGCCTTTAATTATTGGGGGGGGTGAGGGGGGTGTTAAGCAAGCTACACTTCTGGTGCTGACAATCCCTGCTATTCTGCATGTTAGAATTCATGTTGATTGAGTTTGTGTGGTGAGTGTCTGGGTAAATGAAGAACTCCAAAAAATTTTGCCCATTGTGTGGAACAAGGAAGCTATTGTAACCGAAGTATGAGGTGTTTCATCCTAGCATTACCTTTTCCTATTTAGAAAGGTGTGCAGGAAAAAGAAAGGAAATAGTAAGAGTGGTGTCAGGAAGAGTTTTTTAGGTATTTAATGTGTGATCAGCAAGAGATGCGAGGTGAAAGCTGTTGTTAGAATGTTTTGCTGAGGCTGTTTGGAGCTTCTGTGGAGGCAGCACACAAAACTGTTCACAAAATTCAAGCTGTTTGAGAAATCCAGACTCTCGTGGAGACCCAGGAGTGCTGGCCTGTATGCTGGTATCATGGTATCTTCTACTTCTGTGCAGGTTGTCAGGAACAAGCCAGTGGCAAGACAGGCACCTGGAAAACGGAAATGCAATTGCCGACAGGAGATGAGGACCACCCAGTTGGGACCTGGACGTTTCCAGATGACTCAAGAAGTTGTTTGTGATGAATGTCCAAATGTCAAGTGAGTTTTGTGCTCTTTACTGCTATATGGATGTTTTAAATAGACCTACCACTAGGTGGAGGGAAGCGCCTCGGCTACCAGTATGACCAGGGGAATTTGGAAAAACTTGACGCTGGTTTATTTCCACGGAACCAGCCTTTACTCTTACAGTCGAGACAGACAGCTCTATTTAGATGTAGAGCTCCCCGTTTTGCTCTTTCAGCTTCTTATTCCTTTAACAATCATTCATACTGGAAGTTCCACAAGTAAATCTGAATAAACAAAGTCAGGCAAGCCCCCAGTTTCCAGCTGAGAAGAGCTGGACATGGACTGTGCTGCAGTCACGTATCCAGTTGCTGACTATGCATGTAGGAGCTTAACTTTGCCTTCTTTATTAGATGACTATCAGCACACAAGAAAGGCAGTGCTTGCCCTCCTGTTTGAGGTGTGAGTAAGGAGAAAGTACATGTTAACTTGTGTGGGTGTTCTCATTATCCCAGTAACTCAACAGTAGGTGTTAGCACCTGCTGTTGAAAACTTAGTGCTTTCTTGCTCTTCCCTTTTGCAGGCTTGTGAATGAGGAGCGGACACTAGAAGTGGAGATAGAGCCAGGTGTGAGGGATGGTATGGAGTATCCCTTCATTGGTGAAGGTATGTCTCTGGGCACTGCCCTGCTGCTCAGCTTTGACTTGCTGCTTTTCCATGATGCAGGGCTGCTCTTCATGGTAATGATGGTGTCCAAGCCCTGCTTTGGGAAACGTGGTTTTAAGTGGTGTGTCCTCCAAATGCTGCTGATATCCAGGAGCATACTCTTTGCTAAGTTTAGATAACTCTTGAGTTCCACTCCCTTTTCTGGTATTTGGGGTGCACACACACAAAAAAGCTCTAAATCTGATGTTTCAGATTACTTTTGAGCAGGAACATCTGTTCCAGGCTTGACTATGTGAGGGAATCCCCTCTGCTCAAGGAGTTGAAGTCCTTCAACAAGTAAATGACATCATTAACATGCAGGCAAGTCTTTCAGAACAATGGAGAGGTATGAGCTCATTGAGGCCGTATTCAGAAAGTCCTAGACTATTAAATAACAGATATGTGTAAGCAGGGTTTTAGTCATGTGAAGGTCAGCTAGTTGGTTTTTACTTTAACATGTGAGCTGCACATCTCTATTGTGTTTAATATGCTGCTTGTTTCTTCAGGTTTTTACTATCTAGCTCCTTTAAACAGAACTTTTCTTTTTCACAGGTGAACCCCATGTGGATGGGGAGCCAGGTGATTTGCGCTTCCGAATAAAAGTTCTTAAGTAAGTAACTGGCCTGGTTAGACCAGCTTTTTCTGGTTACTGTAAAGGAGGCAGGCAAGCAATTTTCTAGCCAGTGTTGCCGCCTTGGCTAGCATGTAACTTGCCCTTCAGCAGAGTTGATGCAGTCAGGGGTCTGGTACTCCGGGCTGTGCAGGATTTTCAACCCTGATGATGCTAGAGCAGCTGGATTCACCACTTAAGATGCTGCGATAATTCCAGTTTTGTGTGGCTCAGATTCTGGCATGCATTAGTAGGTCCTGTGTGAATCACATGAAATATCTCCTTTTTTCCATAAACATACTATCTCCCTATCATAAGGAAATTCACTACTAAGATTGTTGCATGAGTCACAACTTCTTGACACGCCTCACCACTCATTGCCCTAGAAATAGAAAGGTTTAGTAGTACCTACCTCACACAGGAAAATGAAGCTAAAGTTCATTCATTCTTCACTTCCTCTCTGATTTGTGAATCCTCTAAACTCGTAAATAGAGGGGAGGAAGCTAAAGGACCTATTTCCCCTATGAGGAAGGAGAAAAGTTCCAATGTCTTTTATTTCCATAGGCACCCAGTCTTTGAAAGAAGAGGAGATGACTTGTACACAAATGTGACAATCTCGCTGGTCGAGGCACTTACAGGCTTTGAAATGGATATCGCCCACTTGGATGGGCACAAGGTGAGGCAGTAGTTTGCCTTCTTGCTATGTGTAAACAAAATTTAACTGCAGGTCTCCTGTGCTGGGGCTTGGCTTGCTCTGGGTGTCTGCAGCTGGTGGTTGTATACAGTATCTCCTCTACTAGAGCCTTCCAGACAGTTCCCATGGAGCCAAAATAGGCTCTGTACAAGGTGCGCACAGCGTGAGTCTCGGTTCCAGGCTGTCACAGCAGTTACTGCATGTGCTGTCTTGGGTGGTGTTTGTTCTGGCCTGTGTCCTGTCAGTAATACTGCTTAGACCTCTTGATTATCACTGACTGGCAATGAATCAATATCAGTTGAAGCTTTTCAGTGGGTTGGAAAGGGCATTGGAGTATTGGGGTACATGCACAGAACACTAGTAATGTTGTGAAATTTCTTTTGTCTCTAGGTTCATGTTGCTCGTGATAAAATTACGAAACCCGGGGCCAAACTGTGGAAGAAAGGAGAAGGTCTTCCAAATTTTGATAACAATAATATCAAAGGCTCACTAATAATAACATTTGATGTGGAGTTCCCCAAAGAGCAACTGACAAATGAACAGCGGGAAGGTGCGTGTGGTGAAGCTGTCATGCACTGGGCTGCACAGACCTCTTGCCAAAGCTGATGAGAAACTGGCACAACTTGAACCAGTGGCCTGTAGTGGTCAGGAGAGGCTCTCCTTTCCCCATGCCCTTTGTACAACATAATCACAGGGCATCGGCCAACTCTTAAGTTGCATTTCCCTTTGAAGCAAGTGAGCTGCAGTTGTAGGGAACCAGATTAGGTTTGGATGTGCCACTGCTGGGATGTAGCACTTGGCAAGTTTGCAGGTGCTTTGTTTTGTAGCTGGCCATCTGTCTGAGCTGAAAGACTTACTGGGCTTAGCCTCTGTCTGCTCGGCCTCTGCTGGAATGGGATCACAAGTGGTTTTCCAGCCCCTGCTTTTACTTTCTTGGAGACAGGACTTGTGAAAATCCCTCTACTGTCAAGGGTAGAGTGTGACATGCAGCATCAGGAGAAAGATTGTTTCTCTCCACATCTTCTTCCACCCTAAGTGCTTTGTGGCAATGTGAGGAAGAAGGGTGCAATGCAGATATTTTGTAGAAGATACCTGCTCCAATGGAAACTTGATGAAGCATGTAGAAATCCTAAAGTTGACAAGAGGGTAAATACAGTACTAGCCAGAAATTATTCTTTGCTTCAGCAGCCTCTGTGGTAGGTTCTGCTGCTCTGTGTGGGGCATCAGAGTAGGCATCAAGGGCCCCATCCACTGCTATGGGGCAGAGAAGTTCCTGGCATGTGACATTGCAGCTGTTTAGAAAATCCTCACCCCCCAGAACTACTTCTTGCTTGTCAGGGCTATCATTTTCTTCTTCTGAAGGTGCTCTTTTAGTAGATTCTGGCAGATTTCCTGGTAGAATGAGAAAAATGTGTGGCTTTCCTGGACCCTTTAAGTTTGTAGAGGGAAGCCAGGCCCTGGGTGGGCTTTTCCTCAACCCTAGGGCTCTTTCTGCTGTGTTGGCCACACTGCTGGCTGCCACTTGGAGCCCAGTTGGTAGCTGCAGTTCCAGGTTTGACTGTTCTGTGGTTTTTCTGCAGCTCTTCAGGCTGTGAGGGCTCTGCTTTGAGTGCATCTGGTTTGTTTTGACCCCCATGCTTTCCTGCTCTTCACAAGTGTTTGTGCCCCGTGAGGGCTGCGGAGCACAGCGACTGCATCAGTGTTAAGTCTCATTCCAGGCTCTGCTGCCCTTCTTGAAACTTCATACGGTGACAGCACCTCTTGAACAGATGTGAGATTATTCCAGCTGTTGCTCTTGGCAGTTTAGAAGAGACCAGACGAGGAGCAGCAACAGAAGCCTTTGTCTTTGTGGAAAATTCTTGCATGCCTTTAAGGATATCCTGGGAACAGATGGGTGATGGTACTGACACGAGCATGTTCAGGCATGGGGCTTTTGGGTGTTGCACTCCCTCCTAAAGCAATTCCACGCTTCCCAGGGGAAGGTGACTGGGTAGGCAGGCAGATGCACTTCTGTGTGCTAGAATATCTCCAAACATCCAGTGATTTTACAAGGGAATAGGTCTATTCATGTTGTGTGGCAGCAGTTCAGTGTACACATTCAAAGGAAAACTGTAGGCTTCAGAATTCAAAACAACCCTTTTTTCTTATTGTTGGCAGTGGTCCTGATTTCTTATCTCAAAACTCTATGTGCAGCTCCTGGAGCAGTCAGAAGATACTCTGACACCGAGAGCACCGCTCTGGTCAGTCTAAGCTTTAGTCAGAGAAATAATATGCCTGCTTTCCTGCCAGTGTGACATCAGGGAATTTATTGCCTGTTGATCAGAGGTGAATTTCTTTCACATATCTCTGTTTGTCTCTCCTGACACTTGCTTATTGTCTGTTTTGGATCCCATGCTTTAATTCTGAAGTGCTCAGAGACCAACAGCAGGCAGCAAAGTGGCCCAGGTTGTGTTGTAACATGTCACCTGTTGGTGTCAGAAAAATCTCAAGAGTTGGCCCTAGTAAAAAATGCCTGAGGTGCAGTAACACCAAAAGCCAGGGTTCCCGGCTGGAATTCCTGATTGAACATCAGGTATGCGTCAAAATATCCTGTGCGCTATCGAGGATATCCAGACCAGCAGGCAGCTGCCTAGAGATAGCTAGCAGGAAACAAGGTACAAGAATGGTGCAAATCCCACTTTTTTCAGGGTTACTGGAGCACACCTTTCTCCGGCTATATCCTTCCTTTCAAAGAACTACACATCCAGGAGGTACATCCTCTTGCCCAACAGCCAGGAAGTGGCTCTGGGCCTCCTTTGGCTGTGGAGGGGAAGTGAACTTGCCTTGCACTCCCCTGGAAAATGACTGATCCTTAACAATTAGCAGCTCCTGTATAGAGGCTCACTTTGCTCTTGAGGATATTTCTGAATGTAGAAAAGAGTTCAGAATTCGCTGGCCAGCGAGCAAGAAGCGTGAATAGTTCTTGCCTGGCAGAGAGCCATCTTGGTTTCAGGTACTACTTCTAGGACAGTTTTCCAGTATTTTAAGAGCTGCTGTGACTCTGCTCTTAAAGGACAGTAGTTATTTGTGGCCAGAATGATGTAAGAGTAGGCAAGCAGGACAAGGTTTACAGGGAGACATATTCTCTTTTATCTGGATTTTGTGAAAAAGGACTTGAGTGCCTGAAAGGTTGGGGGGTCTTTCTGTACAAGTAAATTGGTTAATTTAATTACTGATCCTCCCTTACCATGCCTGTTACCTCACTTAAAGTTAACAACTACAGCGTTATTTTCTTGGTAGCCTAATGTGACCTGTTGTACAAACATGTACTGTATGACACCGTGACTCTGGCTTCAGTGGAGCAGCAGAGCAAGCTGATCTGAGGCAAGGCTGTGATCCTGTCTTCTGTCATGTTGAGGTGCAAGCCAGCTGCTTGTGTGCTTTGTTGCAAGACTGATGCTGTTTTGGAGATATCCCAACAGCAGAATTATATCGGTTTAGCTTAATTTTTATTATTATTTGAAAGTTACCCATGGCATGGGAAGTTTTCCCCTCTGTTTTGGGTCTTGACAGCCCCTCCTCAGACTCAATGGTTTCTGGTGCTGGTCAGAGCAGAGATACTGCCATGCCCTGAGGGGCCCCTTGGCCAGGGCAGTGGGAGTCTGAGCAGTGTGTGACCAGGCTGACTTTAAAGAGGGAGTCCCCTCTGATTATCTCTGGAAAAAGTGTGACACATCTATTCTTGCCCGTCCACTTCCTCTGTTTTGTGTGGACTTGCCCTTTTAAGTAGCAGTGAAGACTTGCCAGTCTTCCCCTGAACATGCTGATCCCAGTAGATGAGCTATTATGGTTTTAAAGCCTGACTCACTCTTCTTTTACTCTGTTCTGGTAAGAATTTGATACTGACAGGACCTCAGAGTAGTCAGTTCTTTGAAATGTTTTATGAATGGGCTTTCAGGGGTGGGGAAGATGGTATGTGAAAAGTCATCTAGATTCCTTTGGGAAACAGTCAGTTTCAAAAAAAGCTTAGGATTTTCAGGTACTTAAGCCCACAGATAACAAGTTTACTTCTCTTTTTGCCTTCAGGGACTACTTCTAGTGGTCAGTAGTTGCCCCAGGCACCACATACCAGTGTGAAAACTTCTGCTTTCTAATTACTTGTGGATTTCTGCAGCTGGCAAGTCCAAAAGGGCTCAAGCATAACCCTCCCAAACTTGCTGCTAGCAGATTTCTCTTGAGCTATAGAGAGAGCCTAAGCACGTGAGTTAAATGAATTAGACTCTGGAAATACTCAGCAAGTTGTTTGTTGTTCCATTTGTACTTAAGATGACAAAATTGTTGTTGACTTCCAACAGCAAAGGATCCCCGAGTGTCAGCTTTATCCCTTACAGAGCTGTGAGGATCCTGAGGTGGTGTGCTGGGCTTTGAGTTTGTAGCAGAGGAAGCTTTCTCCTTGGAACCACAGGCTGTGGTCCCAGGAGTGCGTGAAAGCACTTACAGCATCGCTAACCTCAGTCCTGTTTCCCCTTGTAGGATTGCTGAAGGAGCAGGAGTAAAGCTGTCACACCACTGGGTTTGGGGGGATTTTTTTTTTTTTTTTTTTTTTTTTTTTTTTTTTTTTTTAATGACTCTCTTAGAGTACCAGTGTTTGCATTATTCAGATAATGTGAGCTCAGCCTTGAAAAGCTGGTGCCACAGGACCTACAAGCCAGATGTGTAAATGCAGCAGGAACAGCAAATGCAGAGTCCTCCTCCTGTTTGTGCTGTGCAGTAATGCTTTCCTTTCTCTTACAGGTCTCAAACAGCTGTTGAAACAAGGATCTGTGCAGAAGGTGTACAATGGATTGCAGGGATATTGATGTGTGGAAAAATTGGACTTAACTGAAAATGAAAAGTCAGATTTGTTTGCAGTCTTTTCTCCTGCCCACTGTAGAATGGAAAAGAGGGAGGGTGGGGCAATTGTTGAGGTCTATATAATTTTTTTCTTTGTAAATGGTGGAAGTGTTCAGACGAGTTGGGGAAAATACTACCCTTTTCAGGACATAACTGGTGCTGCCTATTATGTTCCACGTCCTGGAACAACAAAGACTCCTTAAGCAGGAAAAAAAGGTGGGGAAAGGCGTCTTAAATTCCATGCAGATTGGAATTTCTGGTTTTTAAATATATTTTGATGTGACTTTTCTTGACCATCTCAACATATTTTCATAGCTTCTCCTGCTTTTTATGTCCTTTGTGTCAGTCTCTTCCAAGTTTCTGTTGTTTGGGGTTTTTTTTATTTCCATCCCATCCTCCCCTTTCCCCTCTGAGCCCAGAGTCTGCGTTTCTGGGGCAGGAGTACAGGTGCTGTTGGGAGTGGACTGGCAGGAGAGCCTTTATGGTCCCCACATATGGTGGAAAAGCAGGGGAAAAGAGTCTCGTAAGGCTCCTGTGGACTCTCTTTTAACTACCAGGTAATCCTCTTGTCCCAAAAGTTAATGCTTGGTTTAAAATTTGAAGTCACAACAGCTTAACAAAGACTCTGCAGACTTTCATGGTGGGATTTTGGAAAATAATGGGAATGGCTCCTTGTGGCCTTGGTTCTTCCTCATTGCCCCTAAATGTAACCAACAACTTGTCTGGAAGAGTTCACTTACCTCCTGCACTCTGTCCTCTGTGAGGACGGGTGAAGCTAGCAGCACAGAAATAAAGGTGGTGTGAGTTGGAATGGCAAAAACTGCCTGGTTATGTATTTCAGCAGCCCTTTCCCTGGGACAGCTGCAAGTCACTGGTCTAACGAATCGTCCCTTCAGTGATCTAAGCTGTGAGCTGCTGTAAAGGGTAAAACCACAGCTGCAAATACCAGCAAAAACTCTGCAGCTGCTTTGTTTGAACTGAGGGCCTGGTGACCTGGCAGGGGAGGTACCTGGTGCTCCTCTGGTCTCTGTGAAGACCCAGCTGCTTTAAGCATCCCCATCAGAAACTCATCTCCACGCATTCTTCAGGAGTGGTAGCTAAACAATCCCTTAGAGGTGCCTGTGTCAGTCAGACTTGTGCTTCACAGTGAGAGTGATGTAGGTAGCAAGAAGTCAGTTGTTTGTGTAGGATGTTCTGCTCCTTCCTTCTGGGCTCTTAGGGACTAATAAAGTGGGATCCTTTCAACTCCTGCCTTATACCTCATCCTCTGCCTGGGAAGTGGATGGGATCTGTTTTTTCCTACACAGAAATGTTTGCTGGGGAGCAGCAGCAGGAGATTCAGGGGGGTAGGGGTGTTTGGTTGGTTTTTGTTGTTTGTTTTTTCTTCATTACTTTAGCTGGATAGGTAGAGAGCAGCTCTGGCCCAGCCCTTGTGTGCTGCCCTTGGTCTAGCAGCCAACCCTTAAACTCCAGTGGGAGCTGACACGGTGGAAGCAGCAGCACTGGGGATGCTTCCTGTTGGACCCTTTGTACATTTGCCTTGGCAGATCAAAGCAGGGGCTTCAGGAACAGCTGGGGGGCGGACACAAGACAAACCTGAGATGCCAAACCCTTGGTCTCAATGCTTGTCTACCTCAAAATCTGTAAATGTAAACTGTTAATCCCAGCTGAGGTTGCCACTTCCAAGTGTCTGCCCGTTTGATGACTGCCTCTTTGCAGATGTCAGTAGACAGCTCTGTCCCTGCTTTCCCCTTTGCTTAGATTTTTAAGAAATCCTGGATTTCAAAGAAACACTCCTTCTAGTATCCCTGTGTATGGGGTTGGTTCCTGCTATCTGAGTCCCTCAAAGGTCTGTCTGGTTGCTGCCTCCCTATTCCACCTGCACACAACCGTGCTGCCAGTGCTTGCCTGTAGCAATAAAGCCAAAAAGCCACGACTCCACACCAAAGTCTCAACTTCTCTGCAGGAGAAGGTGGTGTAACCTTTCCTACCTGCACCCCTACCAGCAGGCATTGTATTTATTTCAGACACTAGTTCCTGCTGCTGCTTTTCCTCTCCCTGCCTAATCCTTTTCCTTCCTGTCATTTGGTTAGTTGTTTTTCATTGTTGGTCAGTACTACTGAGAGGCTGGTGCTATGTACAACAGCAACAATAGCTGCAAAGCCCCAGCTCTTACATGCACGAGAAGAAACACACAGAAAAGAAAGCTCTGAATCTTACCAAGCAACCCTGCTTCCTTCCATCTTGCTTTTCCCCCCATTGCTGTGGGGTGTGTGTAGAGCTGGGGTCTGCTGCCTTTCCCCCCTACAGACGAGGCTTTCAGGGTTACCCTGCGGACAGCAGCATACCCTAGTGCTCACTAGGGTCTGGATCAAATATTTGCACTTATTTTGGTCTGTGAAGAAAGTTGTGCTGCTTCTAGGATCATGGCGGGAGGTATTTGTCCTCCAAGGGCCACAGGGTGTCTGGCCAGAGGGATGTGGAAGCTCTTCAGTGTCTGTGACATCCTGTGTCCATATTTCAGTAACATTTAGCTGGTGTGAGTGAGCCAGAGGAGTCCATGCACACTGTATCTCCTATAAATGCTTCTTAGGGGGCTCAGATCTTCACATTGCTTCTTGGTTGGGGACCAAGCAAGGATCCTGATGGTGGGAACCTCTGAGCTGGAAATCCTGTAATGCATAGCCCCTTCTAAGCAATGCTGTTGCTCCTAAATTGGATAAAAGAAAAAAAACAACCCACCTAGTTTCCTAGTTGGCCTTTACCCTAAATTCTTGCAAAAGTCAAGGATTGTGGAGGGTTTAGATATAGGCATGTTGTTCTTCTAGCAAAGCACTTATCCTTGAAATGTATTTCTAGAAGTCCTTGCTGTTTTAGAAGGGGGGGTTTGTTTAAACAAGCACATAGTCCTTGCCTGGCTAAGGGGATCCTGATTTATTTCCAAAGCGCATGGTTTTGATCACCTCCACAAGTCGTGTGTGTTCCTCTAGGGCCTCATCACAGGCTTGTTTTAATATCTCATTGCCTCTGTTAGTGCTACATTATCCCCCCATCCCAGGAGAGCTGAAGGAGCAGGTGGGGTGAGGACTTCCTAGCAGGTTGGGAGTGAAAACAGGGTTCAGATCTGCTTTTCCAGAAAGCAGCGTGCCCTGGCAGCCTTGGCCCACTTCTGTCCCTCTGCAGTCTGGGCTTGCTGCATCTAAAAACCCTACTGCCAATCCCAGAGCAGATGTTGAAGTTTGGGGCTGCACACAGGAGCTTCAGCATTAGCGACGTGGGTCCTGAGAGCAGTCTGGCCCAAGGGGGGGTTGGTTTGTTCCCGGTGGCTTCAGCCATGCAGAGGGCTGTTGCTGTCGTCTTTTCTTGTCACAGCCATGCTTTGGCAGAGCATCCCCTCCTCCCCGTGTCCAGGCGGGGGGTGAAAGTGTTTCCAAACAGTGTTTTCTATTCCATGGAAACTTCTGCAAGTACAGTGCGGGCAGCCTTGGTTGTTTTTTCTCCAAAGAGCTTGTTATTTTAAAGTACTTATCTATATCTAAACTTTTCTGCTTCCAAGAGACAGGCAGTGGAGATAGGAGGGCAGAAGTGACTGGTTCCAGGAGAAAATGGCTCTGAAAACACACAGATCTGCAGCGTTCCTGAATACATCTGTTCAAATGAGGCCTGAAATGAAGGTGAAGCAATGATTCCTTAGAATCTTTAATGAGATTTGTAGATAGCCAAGCAAAGAAATTAACAGTCAGAATCCAATATAACTGTTAGGCAGGCATTCTTTATTAGCAGCATCTCACATCACAGTTTAGTCTCAATAATTGTCAGAAATTCATTTGTTTGAGCCTTTTCATGCCATCTGTGCTGCTGGGCTGATGAGCAGCGTTGCAGGAGCAGCGGTGGAGCATCTCACAAGAGGTGGCTTGCTCAGACTGCAGCTGTCCCCAGGGAGGGGACAGCCCGGTTGGGGCAGGGCAGGAGGTGTGGTGGCACTCGCTGGTGGCATCCTGCTGTCCAGAAGCCTCCCTTCACCCCCACTGCCCTGGAGCTTCACTTGGTGTTGATTGTGGCTGGCATCCAGCTTTCTCCCGCTTCCTCGGGCTGCGTCAGTAGCTGACCTGGGAGGTGAGAGTAAAGGGAAGAGGGCAACGATGGTTCCTGGGTACTCGTACACCCTGGGAGGAGGGGCTCACCAGCACAGCCCTTTCCTCTGCTGGTTAATATTTCCAAGAACCTGCCCGCTCTTGCGTGGGTGCAGGAGGTTGCTAAAAAGCAGATAACCCAACAGCTTCTATTTCTACAACAATGTTGCTCCCCCACCCCAAGAAAAAAAAAAAAAAAAAAAAAAAAAAAAAAAAAAAAAAAAAAAAAAAAAAAAAAAAAAAGCATCCCTTGCTCAGGGAGGGCTGGCTGGAGGCTGTGCACATTGCAAATTCCCTCACCCCAGTGCAGCCCCAGCCTTAAAACTGACATCCTAAAGCTGGTGACACCCAAAATGAAAATGTGACAGCATGACCTCAGGAGGGGAATTCAGAAGAATGGAGCTGTAGTTCAGAAGTGATGATGACACCAGTGCAGGCACCAAATGCGTAAGGGTTGTTTACAGGAATAATCCCTTCCAGACTTAAATCTGGTGGTATCCCTTTTCCTCATAAACCACTTTTCTGTCTTTCTGTCTTTCTCTCGGCTCCTGCCTTCCCCATCCCCACCCAAGCAGGCACAGGAGCCCATCACTGTGTTTTCAGGCAGCTCCTGGGGCTGGGCAGGGCACCATGGCTGCCAGACCAGACACGGAGCCAAGGATGCTGTGCCAGCAGCTGGAGGCTCCCAGAGGACACGGCTGGGGACAGTGACCTTGTGGGGTGAGCTGATGTCCGAAAGGCAGTGGGGGGACCCAGCTGAAGCACCCATGGGCAAAGCCAGTTCCTAGCACGTTGCTCCAGTCAGTTAAGACGATGCCAAGGTTCAAGGCTGAGTGTTTTATCTGAACCCTTATCCAAGTCAGCGATAGCAGAGCTGAGTAATGGAATCTGTGTGGTGCAGGGAGAGCAAAGCCTCACACAGGGAGCGGTGCAGGCGCCTGGAATGGTTTGCTCTGGGGGAGACACTGTGTAGGGGAGTTGGTTAAAGCCTCCAAAGGTCTGCATGTGCGTTTGTTCACACTCTTGAAAAAAAAAAAAACAAAAAAAAAAAAAACGAAAAACAAACCCCAAACAAAACAAAAAGAACAAGGAGCAAATTAAAAACAACCCTATGTTGACAGGATATGCGGTTAAGCATTGGCGCCTGTCCTAAGCTGCAATCAAGGGTGGAAGAACAACCACGTTTGGGAGAGGATCAGTCATGGATGTGGCTACCAGCTGCAGACAGATGGTACATGCTGGAGTGGCGGTGGGGAAGGAGCCCAGCATGGCCCCTTGGCCACCACGTGCTGCACTGGGCCAGGCCTTGGTGGCCCTGTGATGAGGCGGTTTGGGGATGAGAAAGAGAAATTCTGGGGGTGGATGCTATTGCCATAGCCCCTCTGCTCTTGGCCTCTGTGCCTCCATTGGGCACAGTTGCTGGCCGCCCCCCTCGTGGTGACCAGGGCTGGGGGGGTGGCAGCATTGGGTGCACTGCCTGTGGGCATGGTTCAGGATGAGGCTGTTGTGCAGGATCCCGCAGTTTCAGGGGGAGCCCCGCTGCAGGGCACTGCCCCATCCCCTTGTGATCGCCGGCAGAGACTCAAGAGACCAGCAGCAGAGTTGGCTCCTTTCTAGTGCGCTCTCCTGCTGTGACTGACACACAAGGGGGGGGGCCTGGAGGCAGCAAAAAGCCTTTTCCAGAGCTGTTTAAAGTGGACGCTTCCTCATCTGTCCAAAAAGATGATGTGTTTCAGCAGTACAGAGCAAAACAAGCCCTTTTCCAGACCTCCCCAGTTTCTCCAGCCTGTGTCCAACAGCACCTTCCCAACCTCACGCCGTGACTCCTGGGAGCAAGGAGGTACAGCCCCGAGGCCTCGCTGGGAGAATCGCTCCAGGGACACGGGGGATCTGGGGCCCCCAGTGCAACATCTGCCTCTGTGTGCAGGCACTGGAGATGCCCCACACCCCAAAGCCAAAGCAGTGCTGCGAATGCAGCAGTTTCTCCCCACTACAAGTGTGTTTTCCCCTTCGTGAGGAGCAATCATACTGCGTTTGACCTTCAGCGTCAGCCTCACTTCCCCTAATGCCCGCGGCAGGGGACATGCAGCGCTCAGCCCGCGGCAGAGCTCCCACCAAGGGCACTTGTTTAGAAGCTGAGCAACGATGATGTGCCTCAGCGTTGTCATTTTGGATCCTCTGGCCTCTTGGCTGCCCTCTCCCTTTTGCAAAGGAGCCCACTGAAGGGTGGGGAGCATCCCAGCCCCTGCCCTGAGAGCCTGGTGGAGGCGGAGGCTGCAAGGGGGGTGGCTGGGGGCCAGGGTGATGAGATGTGGTCTTTGGAGACCTTTTCCTCCGTCCCCTTTCTGTCCTAAATCTCTTTTTCCCATCTTCCCTCCCCCCCCCACTGCCCACCCTTTCTTTCTTGCTTTGAGCTGCAGGGAAGGATATTTAGAAAGGAATGAGATGGAAATTAACCCAAGAGAGCTCCTTGCTCCTGTGCTGTCCCCTCTTTCCATAGCCCAAGCCAGCTCCTGGCTGATCCCCAGCCCTTCCTGCCCTTGGGGCAGCAGAGACAAGAAGGGTGTCATGTTATAGGCAAAAGAGAAACGCAGCCAAGAATTTATTAATAATATAACTGAAGCCTAAGCAATCTAAAGGCCTGTTTTAGCTCAGATTGAGCTTGCACAAAAGGCAAATAAAGCAACGAATGCTGTTGGACAGCACTAGTAATACAGCTCTGCATTTCTTTAACTGGCCCTTGGGGAGCAGTTTCTGGTCTTGGGGGTCCCCAGCACATCACCCCACACCTGCCCTGCCCCTTGCCCAGCGTCCCCATGGTCCCATGTCCCTCCAGGCAGCATCTTTAGGGGAGAACAGTGAACGTGTTAATCTGCTCAGAAAAACTGTCCCGTTACAGCTGTCTGTACTCAGCCGTAGTGCCTCATACAAAGATGAGGAAATGAAAAATAAATGAAGTGTCACCAGTTGGCCATTGGAAAAATAATTGAGTCAATCCAAAGCTGCGGACAGATTGAAATGAGCTTGGGAGGGGCAAACCCTACCAGCCTCTCTCCAGAGGCTTTGAAAACATGGTGCATGGCCTGGGACCTGATGCAGGGGCTGGCAACCCCCAGGAGCACCAGCAACCAGAGACGCTCCTGTGCCTGCCCCCCAGGTTAGATCTGCAGCCCTACATCTGTGCTGCTGGGGGAAAATGAGAGCAACCAAACATTCTGTGAGAGCTGACAGGTGGTTTTATTTACAGAACATCTCAAAGCAGTGCCACAAAGGTGTGACATCCTCCCTCCGAGTCAATTATCCCCACTGGAACAAGGATAAATGTGGGCTCAATGCCATCCTTTTAACCCTTTCTTGGCCATTTCTCCTGCCACTTTCTCCCTACCCCATCCCCCTTCCCCATGTTTTCCATCTGTGCCAAGTGTATTTCTACGTTAAGTCTCAGTGCACTGTGCCAGCCCGGCGTGGGGGCCATCCCCGGGGCAGGGTGCTGCTGCTGGAGGGGTGACCCCAGCTGGGACTGGGCAGGGAAGCCACCAGAGTCCTTTGGGAGCAAAGCCTGCAGTGCTGGGGAGATGTTATCTCTTGCGGGGTGCAGGCTCGGTCCCTGCTCCACAGGGTGACGATGGGTCCGTCCCCTGCCTCCATGGGGTGACGTGGGACATCTTCCGGATCTGTTAGCAGCTCCCTCCTGTGCACAAGAAGATCCCCACGGCCATGCCCAGCAAGGCAAAGATCCCCAGGATCAGGCCCAGCACCAGCGGGGCATGCGACCGGCTGCTCTGTTTTCCTGCAAGAGGTGAGAGGGACGGAGATGATGACGGTGGTCGCCCTCCCGTGCCACCATGTGCCATGCCCCCCAGCCCCGGCACAGACCTGTCCAGGCACTCTGAGCCCGCAGGATGCTGACGCAGGTGGTGTTGAGAAAATGCTGGAGTTCCTGGGTGGTCTCGGGGTACTTCATCAGCTCCCTCTCGGCAAAGGCAGCCACTATGTCCCTGCCAGGCCAGCGCCGCTGCCAGGTGGCGTTGGGGACGTGGAAGCTGAGGAAAGCCGTCCCGTTGAGGGTGACCTCGTAGAAGCTGTGGGCCGTGCCGTTGGGGAAGAGGCGGCAGCCCAGGTGGCAGCACAGCATCTGGGTGTCTGAGGGAAAGAGGGAAGGGGCCGGGGTCAGCACGGTCCCACTCTCAGCAGGCCATTACCTTCACCAGCATCAAGTCATGCACTGAGTTTGCTGGGCCTCAGCCTTGGTCCACCTGACCCACACACCAGCTCTTATCGCGTGGTTTAGCTGCAGCAACAACTTTTCTAACAGCCAGGTGGCTGTGCTTATTTTCCCTTCCTTATCTGCATACAGCATAACATCAGTTTTACAGAGATGAGTGGTTTTTTGGTGCAGAGTGAGCTGTTCATCGCTCTCATGGTAGGACACAGCACAGGGAGCATGGGGACACTGGGCGAGGGGAGGGTCACACCAGAGACCCTGCAGTGAGAAAGTGCTCCCCAAGGGCCAGGTAAAGAAACACAGAGCTGAGACAAAACTGGTTTGGGGGCAACAAAGAAAAGGATGTTAAAACAAACTCTGGGCAGGAATGTCAGGCATAACACAGGCTTGCAGAGCAATGCAGGCAGGGATGTGAAACCATCGCCATCAGCATCCCGCAAAAGCTGTAGGGTGCAGGCAGGGTGCAGGTGGGATGCAAGTGGGGTGCAGCCAGGGTGCCCACACCTCACCAACCCCCCCAGGCTGCAGCCCCAGCCCTTTTCCCTAGGAGCAGCAGGAGGTTGAGCATTGCCCTGCTCCCAGCGTGGGCTCCACAATTCCCAGCTCTGCAGAAAAGCTCCTTTTGCCCAGAGCAAGGTGTTACAGGTAGCCGTGTCCCCGTCCATTTGCCCAGCAGTCCCTGAAGAGCCATCCCCGTGCCCAAGCAGTGCAGGGGGGGCTCCCCTCCCCCAGTGGGACCTGTCACCCCATGCAGCCATGCATCCCCCTCCCTGTGTCCCCCAGGGGTACCACTCACAGTTGATGGGCCTCTCCATGTTGAAGAGCTTCACCAGCTGGCCAAAGTAGACCAGGTAGGTGGCCACGTCCTGCTGTCGCCTGGCCCAGGCATCCGGGGGCTCCAGAGGCAGCACCTGGGTGACATTAAACCCCTCCAGGAGATGGCTGAGCTGCCCGTCCAGGCTGGCATTCCCCCAGAAGACGGAGATGCCTTTGGAGACGCGGGTCTGTTGCAGCATGGTGAAGACGAGCGGGGCTGTGAGAGACACCAGACATCACCCACCGCCCCGTCCCCTCCCCATATGTCCCCCACACCAGCCCCAAGTCTCTCCAACCCTGCTGCCACCGTGTCCTCTCCTTACCCGCCTGGTCTGCCCCACAGCCCAGGGCGCCACAGAGCAGCAGCCACCAGAGCATGGTGGGGACAGGGATGGGACAGGAATGGTGGCCCCACCGATGGTCTGACGCAGGGAGTTAAGCAGAACCGGGGAGGTGGGGCTGCAGGAGGAGGAGAGTGGGAGTCTGGCCAAGGCTCTCCCATTTCCTTAGCCAAAGCCACCCACACCCCTTCCCTGCCAGACATGCTGGGCCCTGCCGCGCCTGGGGATGATGATGTGGTCTGAGGCTCCAAGCTCCCCCCAGGGCCTGCAGGACCACACAGCACCGCTCCAGCCGGCAGGAGCGAGTGGCCAGCACCTGCCTCAGTTTCCCCATCCATTGGCTGGGCAGAGGCCCCATCCCTGCTCCCCTGGGGCGACGCAGGAGGCCAGCAGGGACACAGCAGTGGGGAACACTGCAGAGAAGGGAGGGATGGAAGAGAGCAGCCTCACAGGCTGGGCTCGCTCTGTATGATTGGTTTTTAATTACACCTCAAATAATCATAGATTAAAATTTTAAAACCATGGAATTTATATTAAAACATCCAGCTCACCCTGCTGACACAGCATACCACAGCCTGGGGCAGCATGTACCGGGACTGCCCTGCCTGCCATGGTATGGTATGGCACAGTATGGCACAGTGTGGTGCAGTATGGCACAGTATGGCATGGTATGGCATGGTATGGTGTGGTGTGGCACGGTATGACACTGTATGGGGCAGTATGGCACGGTACAGCACAGTATGGCACGGTATAGCATGGTATGGTGCAGTGTGGCACAGCATATATGGCATGGCGTGGCACAGTATGGCACGGTATGGGGCAGTATGGGGCAGTATGCCATGGTATGGCACAGTATGGCACATATGGCATGATATGGTATGGCACTGTATGGTGTGGTATGGCACAGTGTGGAGCAGTATGGCACAGCATGATTAGTACGGCACAGTACGGCACAGTATGGCGCAGTATGGTATGATATGGTGCAGTATGGTGTGGTATGGCATGGTGTGGCACAGTATGGCGCAGTATGGCATGGTATGGTGCGCTACGGCACAGCAGGGTGCCGTACGGCGCGGTATGGTGCGCTGTGACGCGGTATGGCACAGCACGGCACAGCACGGCACAGCACGGCACAGCACGGCGTGGCACAGCACGGCACAGCACGGCACAGCACGGCACAGCACGGCACAGCAC